GTGCCGGAGGGTGGAGACTGCATGTGTCCAGCCCCTCCATGTGACTTGCAAGAAGAAGCCGACAAGGACTCGGGGCTTGTTTTGTTCCAGTATTGTAGTGCTGTGCGTGTGCCTGGCTTTCGTGCAGGACTCGGGCTCGGCGGAGCAGGACGATCGTCCCCTCCAAGCCTCCGGTGAGCTTCGTGTGTTGAGCATGGCCGGTGTGGCAGGGGCAGTGGAGTCCACCGCCACCATGCCGCCGACCTTGCTAACCTGCAGCATCCTCCGCAGGGGCTACTCGGACGCCTGCGAGCGACTCTTGCGAGCCACGGCGTTCCAGGAGATGGAGAAGGACAGGATGATGAAACTGGGCTGGTAAGAACTATTTAGTACTCTGGTGTCTTATGTCATCGTCGGTTCCCTCACGGCAAGCGCCCAATATTAAGTGATGCAGTAGGCATGGTTGTAATCGGGCGGTTCGGTCGATACCGATACGTATGCGGTATTTAGTGGTATATGTATTGCCAGTATTGTGGAGTTTCGGTTCGGTTCGGCAGCGATACGCCATACCGAATACCCGCCACACCAGTCACATCCCCCACCAGCCACGCCAGCCCAGCCCTCCAGCCAGCTGCTGTCCCTCCAGCCTCCAGCCCACCAGCCCCTCCAGCCCTCCAGGAGTAGCGCCTTTAGTTTTGGCCCTCAAAGGCGGCTCGTGAGCCGGTGGTTTGACAGAGATTCGGGATCCACAAGAGGTTGAACACTAAACTGGACGGGTTGCTTGCAGGCCTTCACCTACTCCGACATCGCCAACAGACCGCTGGAACAGGAGAGCCTCACGGACTTGGACAAGGACAGAAGCGTGTCAAGATATCTCAGACACAAGCTGGGCATTGGGAAGTTTAGAGTCTCGGGGCATGTCAGCAGCGCACAGGCACTAGCGTTTTTTGCCCGACCCGTTCACCCGTACAACTCCATGATCTTATTTTGTGAGCAGAAATAAGTCCTAGAAAGAAGATATGTAGCCAGGTTAGTTCAGAACCGCAATCTGTACCATGGTCCTTGCTGTCGCTGCTACGCACGTTGGAGAGGCTTTGTTGTCTGAACCGTAACGAGTAATGAAAGCATCCACAGACTTTCGCTTTCCCTCGCAGCGGAGGAGGAGCCTGCTGTTGGCTTGATTGTTTGTCGTGTAGCTTTGCTATAGGCGTGGGTTCTGTGTGTGTGTGCTTTCCTGTCGGACAGGACGATAAAGTTGTGGCTCCCCAGCGAAACCCCGACGAGGAGCATCTCGATGTGCCAAGCACCGGGGCCACCAAGCTCCACCAAGAGTGTGAGGATCCGGACGAATCCGGATCCGAATGCTCAGACGAGCGTTCAGATGAGGAGTCGGAAGAGGCCTCTGCAGATGTGGTCGGCGGTCCGGATGAAGAGGCTGAGAAGGTGGACCAGAAGGTGGATTCGGAAGCCTCTGCAGATGTGGTCGGCGGTCCGGATGAAGAG